AAAAAAAAAAAAAAAAAAACACATCATAGTAAAACCAATACCTTCTCAGCTTCGCATCGAAGCTAAAAAAAAATGAACAGTAAAAGTTAATTTATACCTTAATATAAAAGACAGTTCCTGGAATTCATAATTTATTTTAATAGTAGTAAAATTATGAAACAACTTCAAAGTTTTGAGAAAAAGTTCCAAAATTATATTTTCTTAACTTTTTATAAAATCAAAAGTACTTAACTGAATTTCAAAATAACTTTTTTCTTCTGAATTTGGATTAGTCTATAGAATATTGTTACATTTTAATTGTTTTTTAATATTCTATTATTTTTACATATCTATTAAGGTAACTGGTGCAGCTACTGAACAACCCTCTACAAGTGAACACCATAATTCTTGGAAATTTTATTTCTCTTATTCAAGTTGAATAATTTTGCCAATTTACAATACATGAATTAAATGGAAAAATGTAGAAACACTTATATAAATATGATGAAAATAAATAAAGAGAGAGTGGGTGAGGGGATTAGATCAAAGATGGGCAAGTTAATGGGGATAATTAAATCAAGTTAAGTTAAGTGAAGTATGATCAATGTCGATAAATTAACAGTTAAAAGTTAACAAATTATAAATTTAACTAGCTAAGTTAAAGTTTCAACTTATCTTAAGATAAGTTAAAATTTTTTTTTAACTTAACTAGTTTAAAAATAGTTTATTTCATTTAAAATTAATTTTTTGTCTAAAATCTCTTATAATCATTTTTTAATTGGTCGGTGATATAAGGGAAAGCTATGAATCGTTTTTTAGCTTTTAAAGTTAAATCTTCTTCTTCCTATTCCTTGCCTTAATCTCAACTACTTGGAGTCGGCCAGCCTTATCCTAAACTACCACTTGATACGATTTAACATGATTAAGGAAAGGAGAAAGTATGAAAGACTGAATAATATAGGACAAAAAAAGTACTATCCAATAAAAAATGAATTAAATAAAAAATCAAGGTAAGCAAAAGAAAATTATATGGAAGAAAGATGTGGTGAAATAGAAATTTTTATGGCGTCAGGAAAAAGATAATAAGCATATAAAATTGTAAAGAAGTATTAATATTACTATTTCTGTAATTCTAGATTGTTCTTTTTTCTGGCCTTTATGTCAACTACTTGGGATCGGCCACTCTTAACCTAAAATTCCACTTGACATAATCTTCCACATCATCTACGCTCACGCCAGCTGTCCTCATATCACATTCAATAACATCCTTCCATCTCTTTTTTGGTCTTCCTCTACCGCGTCTTCTCTCAACATTAATTTCTAAAAATGTTCTTATAGCTTCTGATTCCTCTCTCTTCTTAACATGTCCAAACCATCTAAATCTATTTTATCTCGTTTTATCTTCGATTGACGCTACTCCCTGTTATATGTTTGTTCCTTATCCTATCTTCTCTATTTACTCCACTCATCCATCTAAGCATTCTCATCTTTTGCTCTACTTTCTTATTAACCGCCCAACACTCTGAACCATACATTATAGCTGGTTTCACTACAGTCTTGTAGAATTTACCTTTCAGCCTCATTGGAATTTTTTTATCGTATAAGACACCACATGCTTCTCTCCACTTCAACTACCCGCATTTAATCCTGTGTCTTACATCCTCGTCAATACCACCGCTCTTTTGCACAACTAATCCAAAATACTTAAAACTTTTCACCTCTCCAATCATGTCCTCACCTATTGTCCCTGATCTCCTCATTTCATCGACCTCGTGTTTTCATTTGTCAAACTCGTACTCTGTATACTCTGTCTTACTTCTACTTATTCTTAATCCCTTTTCTTCAAGAACTGATCTCCACAACTCTAGCTTTTGATTAATTTTTACCCTATTATATCATATTAACACTATATCGTCAGTGACAACATTCTTCACGGTACCTCTCCTTATATTTCTCTAGTAATTTCATCCAATACTATAGAAAATAAATAAGGGCTTGAGGAAGAACCTTGATGAACTCTTACCCCAAAACCTTCTGTTAATCCTCCACTTTTTACCTTGGTACAAGTACTTGTATTGATTATGTCTTTACGGATGATGCAATTATCATTCTTCTTTATCAACTTTATTTTTAATTATTACATCTCCTTTACCTTTAAATATCAGCACCACAATAATATTCCTCCATTCATTTGATATTTTCCCTTCTAATAAGATTTTATTTAAAAGATCCTTCAACCACCTTATGTCAACACCGCCTAATATTTTCCATACTTACACTTCATCGGGTCCTACTGCTTTATTCTTTTTCATTGATGTGACAGTTTCCCATACCTCTTTATTACTAATTAAATCTACCAGTGCTTTGTTCCACGAGATATGCTCTAATATCTATTTTAGATATTCCACATTTAGTAATTTTTCAAAATATTTTTTCCACCATTTTTCACATCATCACTCGCGAGCACCCCTTTTTTTTCACGATCGGCATTACTGTAGGTCTCCCTGGAACTGCTATTAGACATTACTTCAGGGTGACCCACGCCGTCTTTATAATTCACACTACCAGGTTGTGAATCAGCCCGAAAATAATCAAGAGCTGATTCAAAACGTGGTGTCGCTCCCTCCTGTTAGCCAGATCCCAGAATGGAAACCGTTAGGGAGGGTTGTCAAAATAGCTCACAGAACACAAATAACACAAATCAAGAACCTAAGGCATCGGCCTAAACTAGCGCCTCAGTTCCTCTTGTGCCGGACGGCGTGGCTGTCTCTGTCTCAGGCGTTCCGCTTCCTCCTTCTTTTTCAAAACGGATTCAGCGAACGCCTGGATGAGTTTCCACATTTTCCGGCTCACCAACATCAGATCCACAAGGACCCGATTCGAAACGCGGATCCAAGTCGGGCTCCGAAGAGTTCCGCTCCTGGACCCACGTCTCGCATCGAAGGGTGTGCAGAGCGTTGTCAGCCTTTCCTGGACGATCGGAACATTGGTCGCACGTCGGCGCGGCTGCTTTGCAAATACGGTGTAAGTACGCGTTAATGCAGCCGTGGCCGGACATCATTTGGATGAGATGATAAGTCATCTCACCGTGAGTCCAGTCCACCCATTTGTCCAGCCTATCGGGTCCTAGTCCACTCACCTCTTGTCGTTTTCTCCGAGAGGCGAGCCCGCCACCGGAGTATGGTCATCCACCTGAGCACCAGCCGGTGCTCGGGTTCAAGAAGCCGGCCGCGTTCTCGGCGGAGCTCATGCTCGGCAACGCGTTCCTCGGCAAGCAGGTCGGCGGGCGACAGTGACATCAAGACACCCGCCGCCACTCCGGACACCGTTCGGTACGCCGAAACTGTTCGGATCGCTGTCCGTCTCTGCACCCTGAGCAGAGCTTCACGGTTTTTGGATGGGACCCGTACAGGAGGACCGAGTGTACGACGCTGACTAAGAATTTGCGACGCATCGCCCTCGTAGATTGGGATCAATAACACCCTATTATCTACACTTTTTTTACACCTTACATAATGATAATCTTTAGACCTTTTTTATCTTATTTTTACTAGTCTATAGACTTATTATTCACCTTCCTTTGTTCCTAGCCTATCATACCTTTTAAACTGATAAAAAAAATATTAATGATAACAAAAAAATATTTTATTCGTTTTGTATATTTTTGTGTTGATTGCACTGTTTTATCTTTAAAACTAATTATTAAAAAAAATTAAAAAACATACATTTTTGAATCCAGAAAATTAAATTTGTTATATAATATTTGAGGGGGGAAATTTCAATTTTTAAAAAATTAAATCACGTACGCACTGTTTAAAGACATACATTTCTTTATGAAATATTGAATTTAGCTTCATTGTTATTTTAACTAATTAACTAAAAAAATCTTAATTATTTCAACGGAAAATTAAATTAATTAATTTAAAAAGTTTAAAAGAAAAATAATTAACTAGTCAAGTTGAAATGTTAAAAAAAAAATTAACTTTTTAACTAGTTAATGCTCACTATTGGATTAGATCATTATTAAAGCGGGTCTAGGAGTTAGATGTGTGTAGAATGATCTAGCGTGCATTAAGCATTGAACTGTTTAATAATAATATCCCTACTTTACCTATTTCCGTTCTTATTAATTACTCGAAGTTTAAGCATGCAAATAAATATTATCTCTAACTTTAGTTCCTTTCATGATTATTTGAATTGATTTTGTGTTAATTTCTCAGTTCAATTATGACAATAGTTAGTGGGATATTGCGTTTATTTTGATTCGTTAGATTTATGCAGTTATTAGATCTTAATCATCATTAGCCGACCCCAAGTAGTTGGGATTAAGGCGAGGAAGAAGAAGATTAGATCTTAATCATCAATATTTGTCGTACATAATATACGCACTTATAAGATCCTCTCCAAAAATTTTCTCTGGAAATATTCTCTAACACTTTATTTTTTGTAAAAGGGGATCATTACAACTATTCTATATAATTATATCGATTAACCTAAGATAAATGCATTAATAATTGAAATAGAAAATTATAAGAAATGAAAACTATGATTTTTTACACCAAAATAACTTTTTTTAATTAACTTCATAGACCATTTACATATAGAAGATAAGATGGACATTGGGAGAAATTTTGTTTAATTTTTAATACATAATATTAGCTTTAATTAAACATATGTTTAAAGCTCAGAGTATTTCTGAAACATTTTCAAAAGTTGGGAAAAAGTGGCGACAGGCATAAAAAAAAACACATTGTGTAAACTCAATATTTTCTCAGGTTTGTATCAAAGCTAAAAATAACGCAAAGTATTTGCTGAATCAAAAGTTAATAGATTTGTCAATATTGTAAAACAAACTCTATTTATAGCAATATTAGTATAAAAGATAGTTACTCATGTCTAAACAATTTAATATCACTAAAAATGGCTTATGAATTGAATACTAAATTAAAAAATATGTATTTCCAAATATTAATGATAATAATACAAGCAAAATTACAAAACTTTCTAGATATACGCAAACATTACTTTTTGCTCGTGTTTATTTAATAATAATAATATTAATAGGTAAAATTATAACAGTCCTTCCATTTCTTGCATAAATTGCATATAAGCATCATCTTTAGTCTGTTGTCCTACTTGTTGATTGTTTGCTGCAATATTAGTTTTAAGTTCTGCTGCTTTGTGCTGTTCCCAAGCATGTTCTCGGCGATTAGATTTTCCATCGTCTCTCTTTACTCTTATAGATGTGGGTAGGAATCGAGTGACATCTGCTGCAAGATTTCTATAGTAACAAAATAAGGTTAATAATGAATATATATGTGATTTGATGATTTTGAATTTAATTTAAAAATTTCCCAGTATATTTACTGTAGTATATAATATCATGTGTTAGGATAATTTTTCTATTTTTAATTATGTATTAAACATTAATAAGATAAGATAAGTTATTAACATAATTCTTAAAATACCTCATTTTTGGTTTAGCTTCAATGGTAGATCCTATTTGATGAGGTTCTTCGCGGTTAATTAATTGAGGTTCAGCACTCACAATATTTGGTGTAGCTGCTGTAGTATTAGGAGAAGGATTTGCATTATGGTGCATACCAGCATTATACCTTATCATTCTAGGAGGCATGCCAGGGGGAGGACCAGGAGGCATTCGAATATGCATACGTGGTGGCAGCCCAGGAGGAGGTCCTGGAGGTAACATTGGAGGACGGCCAGGTGGAGGGCCTGGGGGCATTCGACCTGCAGGACCACGATAAGGCATAGGAGGTGGAACACCAACAGGAATACCTTAAAAACAATTTTTTGTAAAATAAACAAAATGAGTACATATAAATAATTCGATTAATTGTTTACTTGGAGGTAATCCAGGAGGCAAGTGCCCAGAAGGTGTTGGTATTGAGGTATGATGTTCTTCATATTTATTGGATAAACTTTTTCTTTGAACTTCGTCAATCTAAAGAAAATATCAAACAATACTTAACAAATTCTTGATTTACTATTTATATCAAAACTTACTTCTCTCATAAACATTTCAATATCATCAGTTCTATTTTCTTTACTAGAATCATCTGGTTCAGCGAACCTTAAATTGCGTCTTGGAGCTAGTTTAAATTAATAACAAAGAAAAATAACATTATAGCTACTATATACAATGTTTTAAAAATAATAACTTTTAATTCATAATTACAAAAAAAAAAAAATATTATGATGATTCATATTTATATATTAGTTGCTTTTATATTTTGCTATTTTTACACAACAAAAAAAAAAATTTGATACATAAGTAATATATAGAACATTTTTTGAAGGATTTTTGACAGAATAACAATAATTTTGAAAACAATTTTTTTAGTTACATATTATTTTTGAATTATTAGCTATATAATATTTTTTTAATTCATAAATTATGAATTTTGTTTTTTTAAATAGAAACACATATTCCAAATTTTTAATATTACTTAATCTGTTTTTTAGTTATACCAATTTTAAGTTTAGAATTATTAAATTCAAATACATGTATAACATATGAAAGATTATACTAATCGGTAAGTAATGGATTTGTTTATGGCATATCTGTTCATAGGTACACAGTGTATTATCATGATTTTATCAACAGCAATTAAAAATGGTTCATATTTTCGATAAGTTGTAAATTTATTTTTAAGCCATCAGTTACAATATTTATTTTAGAACCACGTTTATGTTATCGCTCAATAGTGTTGAAATAGGCAACAACTGCTGCATATCTGTGAATAGCTATGCTATAAAAAAGCATAGCTATTAATAATTCACTACCTGTATTTATAATCCCTTGTATATTGATATACTTTAAATTCAAAAAATTAAAACTTTAAAATATAATTACTAATAAACGAATTTAGTTAAATAAAAAAATCCAATCCTATTAAAATAAAAATAATTAATCTTTATTAGGTAAAAAAATTGAAATATATATTCCTTAAAAAAAGTTAATAATCTAACAAGGCATAAGAGATGAACTTAAAAAGTATTTCATAACTAATAATTTAAAACATGTAGCAAAAAAAAAATTTCAAAATTATTTTTTTTCTGAGAGTAATTGAGTGGGTTATGGTTATATGGATATAATGATTAAATTTAAAAAATAAATAAGGCTTGCCTTAAAATTGTTATGTATATTACTTATATATTATCAAAGATCACCCAGTAACAGAGATGTCATTTCAGATTTTACTACAAAACAAGCAAGCTATAACACTTAATATGAAAATTGCCATAACAAAAAATGTTTAAAGTCATTGGACTCAAATTTTATTATAAATTAGACTGGGGTAAATGCTCAAGTTACCACTCCCAAATAACATCTCTGTTTATATATCAAATTACAGAAATATGTATTGCTATAATTATAAATTTAATATATTTTATACATTCATATTTTTTAATAACTTGAATTTTTATTTAATTTAAATTATTTAGAATTAAAACTACAACATTTTTTGTTTTTTTAACTGGTTTTATTATAGTGCTTTTTTTAACAAGGGGAGGTCATGGATTTTCATAAAATTTATATAAATTTAATCTATATAAAATAAAAAAACCCAGCACAGGGGGGTCGCGGCACAGTGGTGATGTGGCATAGTTGGATCAAGTATAATGATATCTGACAGTGATTAAAATCACTATAAAAAAAAACGCTTCGATGCAAATCTTTAGATAGTGTTTAATTTTAAAAAATTGGTGGATTATTCCAAAAGCTTCATAAACTGCTAGTTCCTTATTAATATCCTGATTAAGACAAAGTATGTCGAATAAAAAAGAGATTATTAGAAAATAGTATTTCCCATAAAAAAATTATATTGATCAATACACTTTTCAATAAGTTATAGCATTATAATGTTAAAAATGTAAAAAATAAAATTGAGAATTTTCACACAATAATAGCATTTGGTAGCCATTTTCACCTTGAAGATAAAATAAAGTCCGAAATTTTTTTTTTCCATGATAAAGTATATTACATTAGCTTTAATTTAAGATATATATAAAAGTGTCAGACTTTCCGGAACACTTTCAAAATTTAAGTTGAAAAAGTCAATTTTTTGTGAAAAAGTTGTCATTTTGAATCCCCCCCTGTAGGCAGGTAAAAAGTCAGATTTATAAAAAAAATATACCAAATGATAGGTAAAGACATCATGCATCTACAAAAAAAAGAATTATATTGATCCATACATCTTTCGAGAAGTTATAGCATTATAAAGTTAAAAATATAAAAAAGAATTTTTTTACAAAAATCGTATTTTTTTTATTAAGTTTAATGTCTGTTTTCACCATGAAGATAAAATAAAGTCCGAAATTTTTTTTACCATTATAAAGTATATTACATTAGCTTTAATTTAAGATGTATATAAAAGTGTCAGACCTTCCGGAACACTTTCAAAAGTTACGTTGAAAAAGTTCTACATTCTATATGCATTTTTATGTTTTGAATCCCCCCTGTATTTAGGGAAATGGTCCGATTTAAAAAAACAGTATGTCGAATGAAAGATGTACATAAATACTACTTCTCATGAAAAAATTGTAATGATTCATAATATAATGAATTGATAATGATTTAAAATTGGTAATGATATTATGCATCTATATAAAAAAGAATTATATTGATATGTTTATTTTTGAAAAAGTTATGACACTTTTAAGTAAAAAAAATTGAAAAAATTTCGAAAATTAGCGATTTTTAAATTTGTAATTTTTTTGGAGGTTTCCCCCTTTTACGGGGAACGAGGGAATTTTTTTCAATTTTTAAGGGTAATGTCTTCGACTAGATACGATTTGTGATCTTTTGACGTATCATTGAAAGAAATCGGTTCGGTGAGAGCTGAGAAAAAGTGGTAACAGACACAAAAAAAAAAAAAAAAAAAAAAAAAACACATCTTAGTAAAACTAATACCTTCTCAGCTTCCCATCGAAGCTAAAATAAGAGGTTTTTTGAATTTTTTGCCAATGCCCCCTTTAAGTCGAGAAAATTGACTTTGAAAATTTTTAATTAACTTAAATAGAGTCATTTTTCTTCCACAGACAATAACCTCTTATGCTCGAATCGAGAATATGTGATCCTATGACGCACAGATACGGAATCGATTCCCGTCAGGTAGTGGATTTTTTTCTTAATTTTTTTCACGGTTTTCTCTTTGAATTATTAATTTTACGTAATATATATAGTTTATAATACGATAAAGTTTTATCTACATTCAAAACACATTTGATAGTACAAGTTATCAATTTTTTAGTGATAAAATATGAATAAAATAAAATAATATTTTATGCACATAAATATAACTAATATAATATTAACCCAGTAAAAGTATATAAATTTTTAAATGGATTTTTTGAAAAGTTTAACTATATACTGAGTGTTCAGTAAGTAAGGAAACGGGTTTACATTGTTCTCATTGATTTTAACAATTTTCCTGTTTCCTAACATACTGAACAACCTGTTGCTTGTTCAGTAAAAAAAATGACAAATATTAGGTAAAATTAATAATTCAAAGAGAATATTGTGAAAAAATGTAGGAAAAAAATGCAAAAAACTCACTACTACCTGATGAGAATCGATCCCTAATCCGTACACGTCATAAGATTACGTAATCATGATTCGACCACAACAAGTTATTGTCTATGGAAGAAAAATGACCCTATTTAAGCTAATTAAAAATTTTCAAGGTCAATTTTTTAAACTAAAGGGGGCATTGGCAAAAAATTCAAAAAACCTCTTATTTTGTATTTAATATAGATTAGATTTATATAAGTTTTATGAAAATCTGTGACTCCATCACTGTGACCTCCCCTAGTAAGATAAAAATTAATATTGTTTTATACTATACAAACCTATTTCATTATCACTATCATCATCATCTACATCATCATCATTTTCTTCATCAGTTAATGGAGGAGGAATACCAGGAGGAACACCAGGAGGACGTTTTTTAGTTCCAGAAATTGGTGATAATGGTGGACTTCTAAATCATATATATATATTATAAATTTATTAATTTTATTATAAATTTAGAAATACATTATAACTTACGTGTACAAAGGTGGCTTTTTTAGAATACCAATAGGTGGATCAATGGTTACATCAGGAGCAGGTAATGGAATATTAGATGTCATTACAGGTAAAGGAATTTCATCAACAGAAACTTGCTGTGCTGTTTTAACAGCATCAAAATATGATATTAATTTGAAACGCCTTTTTTCATATTCAGATTCTGCTCTCTTAATTTCATGATACTTGTCAAGCTCATCTTTTACCTATTTTAATATCATAAATATAAATTAGTTTCTTAATTATTAATTGTTATTAATTAATTAATTAAAATTAACTGAATTATCAATATAATACGTTAAAGTATTTTATTATTTACTTACATACATCTTCATTACACGATCAAAAGTTTCCTTTAATTTTCTTCTTTTTTCCCTTAAAACTTTTTCATTAAGAGGTGAAGGCTGAACTACATTGTACTCTACATATTTATACAAATAATAAAAAATACTTAACATTTTTTCATTCATTCACTATAATTTAAACACAAAACTCCATAATTGAACCAATCATTGAAGACTATATTCTTGACTTCAATGTAACTCAAGTCATACTTATCAAATTTTCAAAATATGATTAAAACTTTTGTTTTTTAATATATAGGAGCAAGTAACAACAATTTTACATTCATTTAAACCAAAATTATTCTATACAAAAATCCAAAAAATATTTTTAATTATAAAAACCCAAGAACGTTTTGAAATTATGCTTATTATTTTTTACTAGTAGTATTAATTTCAATACAAGGTTTAACAAAAACAGTAAAAGCTTAATAAATATATAAATTCATAAAAAAAATAAATGATTTCCTATACTTATTACTTATTCATGACTTAATGTTAACATTAAATTTATACCTATATTATATTATTTAGATACTGAACACTAATTTTTGTAACTGAATTTATTATTCTATATTATTTGCATAAGACTAAAAAATCTTTTTTTTTTTCAAATAGCATTTTGTGAGTAGTAATTATATCTTATTTCTTAAAAAAAAATGAATGTTTTTTTGCAATTGACCACTTATTTATAAAGATTTAATAAATATGATTAAAACTGATATTAAAATAAATAAATTACCCATTTGGTCAATTTTTTCCATCTCAGATAAAATTTGTAGCGGATCTTTTCCTTTGAGAACAGTAGTTCTTACAATCATACGCTGTTTCTTATTTTTCTTCAACTCTTTTTTTCTTGCTTCCTTCCCTATAATCAAACATGATTACAAACACAATGCATTAACAAAATTTAATTTTTATACTTGAAAATTAAAAAAATTGAATACAGTAAATTTTACAGAAAATAAACTAACAACAGAAAATCTATATACATCGTATACTTACTAGCTTGATCAGTCGGATTCATATATTTACCACTTTTAGTGGTATTAATGGAACGGCGGCCCATTTTTAAACAGAAATTCGAAATAACTAAATTAAATATTCACTATGTTTATGAAAACTATTAAATTAATTGTAATCTCGATGGTTGATCAATTGTAATTGATAACAACAATAATTCAAAGATAGTGGTTTCTACCAGACTTAAAGTTAATACCATTATAATATAAGATTAAAAAAACTGCTAATCTGCACACTAGCACATGGCAGGAATGTGATAAAGAGCAGTGGTGGCGGCTAGTAGCTTTAAGACAACAACAACAACAATTCAACATTACCACCACTACTATAAAACTGCATCAATCATCAGCTGCTGCTGTCTGCTGACTAGTAGATTTGCCACTTAGTTATAATAGCATATAAATGAAGTCGTCATAGTCATATTTTCTTTTAATATTTAAATATTATTACTGTTACCGCTAAATTTATAAATAATAGAAAAAAATAAATAAAAAATTTGACAACATTTACTACGGAATGTACGACAATTTTAAATCGACGTGTTGCGCTCAAAATCTTAAAAAAACTTTAAGTGTGCTAATATAATAATATACGTTAATTTTTAACATTTTGGGTAAATGGCGAATACTGATGAACCATTCAAAGAAGGCTATTTATGGTTTCCACCCCATGGCGTTCTTTCACAACTTAAGGTAGTCAAAAATATCTTATAATTATTGAGAAACTAAAGAGTGTCCCATTAATAACAATAATTATAAAAATTGAATAATTTATTCAATTTTATATAAATAAAGTTATATTTTGTACTTCTATGTAGCTTATTATTGATATGATTATTATATATTTAATTATTATTATATGATTCAATTAGAAAAAAAATTATATGCTATANGTAGCTTATTATTGATATGATTATTATATATTTAATTATTATTATATGATTCAATTAGAAAAAAAATTATATGCTATATGTTCTCTATTATATAATGTGTTTAAATTGCTTCTGTTAGTGAAATTTGCTGACAATTATGACATATCTTCACTGATTGTACTAATAATTTTTTCAAATATCTCATTTAGTTTTTGAAAGAGATCAAAATTTGTTAATATATGTAGAGATGTCACATACCATTATAGAAATTATTGAAAATAAAAATTAGTCTCCATAAATTGAAATGATAAGTTCTGGAATTTTTACATAGAAAATCAAACTAACCCAATCTATATTTTCATGGACATATTCAAATAAAAATTTGTTTCTTCAAACTATTTTGAAATATCTTAACAATTTATTTTGTGTATCAAATGGAAGTAAGATATTACTAAATTGTTATAGATTTTTCACAAAACTATCACCAAATTTTTGTAGTATTTTCTCTGCTAAAATTCATTACTGAATTGTGAACTGATTCACAATCAATATTTGGTGAAAATCAGTTAACTAATCAGAATATACAATTATAAGAAAATTCACCATCCTATCCAACGTCATTATATCAAATATTATATAATTTAAAATCTGCATTATTTATTTATTAACCTTTATTATATTGGCACTCTTATTAGATGTTTAACTTGTTTGATGTTAATGTTTAGAAATCTTGGCAAAAACGATATTGTCGGCTGTTTAAATGGAGCAAACATGGAGTTGATCGTCTCGAAGTATTTGATGGTGTTGAAGATCAAAAATTATCTACTATTGCTTCTATTATACCTCTAGAAAGTTGTGTGAAAATTACTGAAGATGCTCAAAAACATCAACCTAATGTATTTGCTGTAAGACAATACCTAGAAAAATTGAATTACAATCATATTTTCTTTTTTAGAAATTGTATGAAAAATGGGGCGTAAATTAAAATGTATTGAAATATACCTTATAATACCGTATAATAAATTTCAATATTTACCCTCAAAACTTCCTTTAATATTACCTTTACAGATTAATCATTCTAATACATTTTTGCCACAAATTATTTTAAGAAAATAGTGAAATTCAAGAAATAAGTTTTATTAGGTACAATTCTAGAAAGTCCACATTTGTAAGATTTCATTTACCTTTCTTATGGTAGTTATAACTGTGCTTATAAAGTTTAACATTTCAATAAAGAGATTTGCAAATAAAACCAAACTATTGGATTGGTCTAAAATTTTAGTCAATATCTTTTTTTATGTAATAAGCACTGATAACACTAGCAGTTAATATTATTTTAAGTTTTAAATTCTTTTTTTACTTTAAAAATGTATTTAAAAAAAAAATTCAAAATATAATAATATAATACATAATTAGAAATTACAACAGATTTTTTCAATTTTAATTTTTATATTTTATAACATCTTTAAATTAATGATTTTATTGGAATTCCTATTATCTATGGTTGTTTATAATATATTTCTATTGTAAATTGAGACCAAAGAGAAAATTGTGATTAATAATTAAAATTGATTTTATCAGTAAATTATATGTTTATATCAAGTTAAAAGTTATAAATTAATTATTATTATTTACAAAATTATGAATATTTATAATTTTAGCTTCCTAAACATTTTTCTGGTTAATAGATATTACTTTCATATTTATGGAAGGGGTGGTCAAAATAAAAACTTGAAAATTCAGCAAATTTAAAACATTTTAATTTGTGGCATGTTAACAAGTTTTAATAAATTTTTTAAAAGATAAAAATAGTTTAAATAAAGTGACTAGCCTTTTATCTGACGCCCAGTTAAAGTGTTTATTAAATTTGCTGGTTTGTGCTTTAGTAGTGATACTGAAGTATTCTTATAGTGGTGGAGGCTTCCTCTCTGACATCCAGTCAAAGTATGTCACTAACTAGTTAATAATAATTAAATTACAAGATTTTTGTATTAAATTGAACTATTGCTTTATTGTTCTTTACTCAGATTATTAACTCTAAACAAATAGGTTAATATAAATTGTCTTACTTTGTGTTTAAACTTCTTAAGTAGTTTTAGTTTTAGTTATTAGTGAAGTGGATATAATTCCCATGTACTCAGACCTATTGGTCCATTGTGCATACCTCATACCGAATTGTCTTGATTCGGTTTAACACCTAAGTGTTATTACATTATACCTATCATTTTATAAGGGTGGACTATCAAATCACCTATCAAATTAAGTATCTCTCTGGGTTTTAGATTTTTAATATCTTGTTTTTCAAGAAAGGTTTACTCAAGAAGTTTGATCTTAATGTGGACAATACTTCACATTCGCACATTATGTGAAATGAGTCTTTCTCTTCTACTCCATACTTCCTGCACAATGGTGATTCCAATACCTTTATTGTGTAAAGATGTTTAAGCAAGTGACCATGTCCTGTCAGTAGACCAGTCAACGTGCTTATTTGATGTCTAGTTATGCTATTAATATCATCCAGCAGTAGACTGGAGGTCTTGATAAACATTTTAAATTGTGTTTCTCGTGTCTAAGTTTTAGACCTTCAATTTTGTCAGCTATTGCTCCCAGTTGATCTTGAGACTCCTGGTCTGCATTTGTTGACGTTGCTTTCTCTTTGCTAGTAGACGGCTCATAAAGTGTCCCGTTGTTCGCATTGAGACTTTCAAGTTTGACGATTCTTCTGCGAAGAGCCGCCAGTTCACGTTCTTGTTCTGATAGGGTGTCCGTAGGATCCCTGTTTGTCCCAAATTCGTTAAATAAAGGTCCATCACAGCAGAGCTCGATATTATGATAAGGCTGTATATTCTATGGTGCACCAGGTGCCATAGAAGATCCCAATGGTCACTTTACCTTTCGGCTATATACTCTGTGTCAAGTTAGCAACCCTTTCACTTGGTATGGCTGGATTAGGGAGTCCTATTCGCTGTTAGCAAGCAGGTATGCCTCAGCCTACCTGTCCCAACTAGCCAGAGTCATGACCGGCTAAGATCAGTGGTACGTGTTGCCACCCTCACTGAATTAACTAGGGTCTGCGGGGTTGTTAAGCCCTTGATCCTTACGGGTCCCCTTGTGGGTAATTTTGGGTAAAGTTTGAATCTTAATTAAATTGCAAAATTTTGTACGCACAAAATTTTAATAATTTTCCTTTTTATAGAATATAAATAATGTTTCAATGCAAATAATTTCATAACATGATATACTAATACAGGGTGATTGATTTATCATAAACCACTCTTTTTTTTTTTTTTTTTTTTTTTTTTTTTTTTTTTAACCTTTAACTTATATTTGTATATAATATTATATAACTTTAATTTGTAATGCACTTTGTTCACTGTTATAATTCAACCCAAATAAATGTATAATTAAATTCAACATTGTTCATCAAATACTAATTAACACTTTTGACCGTTTAAATAAATCAATATATATTTTAGCGAAAGATTCATAAAATAACACTATTTATTGTATCAATTATATTTTAGGTTTGGACTAAAACTGGAGTTCATCATTTTTCTGCCAATTCTGAACAAGAAATGACTGAATGGATTTGTGCTTTACAAGCAGTAGCATTTAGAGATAATGCTTCTAGACAAACTATTGAAGAAGATAACGATTTATATTGTTCATCAGGCGATGGTAATTTTTATAATTATATTTTAAAATAAATTGAAACATTAAATGATGTATAATAAATTTTGTGTATATTTTATAGCTGGAGTATTTAGTGTTAAATTAGTGCCATCCGATGCTAGTGTACGTTGTGGTTTAAAAGAACAACCATATACTTTAGTAGTAACTCCTGTTGCTCTTCAATTAAGAGAATCTGATGAAAATGATACTTTACTTTTAACATGGCCTTATCGTTTCATACGACGCTATGGCTATAGAGCAGGACGATTTACATTTGAAGCTGGTCGTAAGTGTGCCAGCGGTGAAGGTGTTTTTCATCTTGAACATTCAAACCAGCAAGAAATTTTTCGATGTATATCATCTAAAATGAAAAGTATGAAAAAATTATTAAGTGGTGAAGGATCATCTTCTATTATTTGTGGAAATAATCAGTTTCGAGCTGCTTTATCAATGATGGCTCGTTCTAGAAGTCCATTACCGCCATCTCCTACAAGCACCACTCCATTATTACTTGATAATGATTTAAGCCCAATATCTTCTACTAAACCTCTAATGCCTTTACCATCAGTACCTCCTACCCAATCACCCCCTCCACCACCATTAAAACCAAAACCAAAGACTTTATCTAAAAAAATCCCCAATATTTTAATCAATGAACCTACAAGCGATGTAAGAGAAATAAAAATCACTCCAGATGCTGCATATGAAGATGTTCAAGTCAGAAATGATGCGTGGAGAACAATGGGATTAGATGACCCTAATCTAAGTGATCAATCTTATGCTAGTAATACTGTAGTGCCAATAGATGAGTGTATGGAAAATTATGACCATTTACAACATTTCGGTTTTATATCAAAAACTGCCCCTGGTTATAAACAAATAAACCCTATTTGTTCAACTGTCAAACAAAAACCTAACATTAAAACAAAAACTATTATGTTACCAGCTCGAAAAGCTGATGATTCACATTATGGTTATGGTACAATTAACAAAAAAAATTCTACAGAAGAAAGTCGAACATCTAATTCTTCATTGAATTCTGTAGCGCATAATGAGTTACAATACGCTATGATCTTTAAATCTAATAAAGTCTAGTCGTAAATATTACGAATATTTTCTTAGATATCAATTCTTATCTTGGTTGTATACAATATCTTATTCCTTTACTATTTTTTAAATGACTGTTACCTTTAGCGGGATGCATGTTCATTACATCACTTTTAAGTTGCCATTTTCTTGAAGAGCTGTTTCAAATGTATTTATTTAATTATTTTTATTCAAATATTTATATTAATATATATAAGATGTGCAATATTTTAAAACTGCTCAAACCATAATTTAGGTCAAAGAACAAAAAAGATGTAATTCATGAATTTTTATGAAGTCTAACTTTATGAACAATAGTTTTACCAGTTATTAATTATAATTTTATAATGTGTTAATTATTTATTTTTGTATTATAAATATAACCATTCAGTATTTTATCCAATGATTTTTTCTAGTTGTGTATTTTAAGAGAAAGATTACAAATGTGTAAAATGATTATTGTGAGCTTCTGGTGTTATCTATTATAATTTATTAATTAAGAAATCGTTCAATGTTACTTTTTTTTTAATTTCACTTTTTTCAGTCCAAAGTACTTATTTTTTTATTTAACAGTATTTAGAAGTAATAAGTTTTTGCTTAATACTCGCACGGACAAAAACTAAATTATTTTATCATTGACATACAATAAAATGGGACAGTTTTCATTACTAAGTACTGTATCTAGTTAAACATTAACAATTTTAAAAAACAGCCATACAAGTAAAAACTAGATTTTATATTGAACAGGAAACAAAGAAAAATTATAACTGTTCTTAATTGAACCTAAGCAAAAGATACTATCTAAGATATTTGTTTTGTAAAAATTATTTGTTGAAGAGATAAATTAAAGATAGAATAGTTCATTAATTTATATTTTCTAAGATCATTATTTTCCAAGTAACATTATGTTACTTGATGAAATAATATTCTTCAGAAATCAAAATCTTGAGTTAATGTTCATTAATATGAGTCAACTTAATCATAATCTTAATTTAAAAAAAGTAAAATCTATTATTAAATTAATAAATGAACAATAAAAAAATAAGCATATTTTTCTTTAAATATATTTAATGATAATGATCAATATTAAATTTAACATAGTATCAATAATCGTTTATCAAATAAATATTTATAAAAGGTAACTAATAAAAAAAAAATGAAAATTAAAAAGCCATACATATAAATAATAAAAAGTATACTCATAATAAAGTAGTAAATATTAATTTGTTCACTGATCAAAATATTGTAAGAAATCTAAGATTGTATTTGTGACTTAATTAAAATAGTATTCTTACAAATGGTTAAAGAAATTTATATTTGGCACATCGCTGATGAAATTCATTTGTGTGATGGACTAAAAGTGAGTTGTTGTGTAAAATCACGTACTACGTCATTAAATGATTCTTCTGCATTCCCATGCTCAGAGTTTTTTATTTCTTCATTTAAACGACCTAATTTTAATCTAAAACACATTTTTTATATTTTTATTATAATCATTTTTTTTAATATTGCATAATATAAAACTACATACAAGGTGACAATATCAGCATTAGCTTGATGTATTGCAACTTGTAATGGTTCAACACCCTTTTGGTTTTTTAGATATTGATCAGCCTTATGCTTTAATAGTAAACATACTTGAGCAGTATGGCCTATAAGATATAAAAAAAATTAAAAAAAAATATATATTTATTTTTAAATTTGCATTATAATTCTAATTTCTAAAGAGATTTATTTAAAGATTTGTGTCACATTAATTAATAGCATGCATAAATTAACAACTATAAGAAAAAACCAAAAATCAATACCACTACTCACAATTTTAAAAACATTTTAAACTTTCATTTAAAATTTTATTAAACATTAAATTATATTTAGTGATGGGAAAGAATGCGTTCATGTGAACGCACTCGTATAAACTATACTAGAACAAATTCAAATTTTAGAAAATGAACTGTTTAATTCTGATTTTATACATAATAAAATCTTAATAAGATTGGTCAGTACCATAATCATAATACTGGGTTTGGAATAAATGTATTCGTAAAAATTCATTTATTTTTAAATGAATGAATTCTTATGTAAATTTAATTTTTACAGTATGAATATAAATATTAGATTTTATCATTATGAAATCTTTTATACAAGAATGTGAATTTAAATCAAATACAAAATTCATTTATCAAATAGTTTTAAAAGTAAATTATGATAAAAATGTTTATATATATATACAGGGTGATTTTTTTATCATAACCCACTCAATTACTTACAGAATAATAATAATTAAAATTTTTTTTTTTATTATTACCTTTAGTTACACATTATTCTTGAATTATTAACTATGTAATACTTTTTAAGTTCATCCCTTATGCCTGGTAAGGGTGTCAACTTTGTTTTTTTAAATGGTAACACATATTTTTAATTTAATAAAATGTTTGAGTTTTTAATTCAATAGTAAATGGCATTTGAATTTTTAATGAAACTTAATTTGTTTATTAGATATAAACATTTAAAGTTTCAAATTTTTGAGTTAATATATAGGTATAATACACAAGGGATTACAAATACAGGTAGCTAATTGATTTTTTATGACATCGATATTAGCAGGTACACAGCATTGTTATTATCAATGATAGTAAGGCACATTGTTATGAGTTTATAAATACACTAACTGACAATACAGAAAGTATATCTATTGATAATCATAATTGATAATAAACAATCCGTGACTGAGACAGCAATGTCATAAAAATCCAATTAGCTACCTGTATTTACAATCCCATGTGTATTATACATGTATATTAACTCAAAATTTTGAAACTTTAAATGTTTATATCTAATAAGCTAATAAAGTTATATTAAAAATTCAAACGCCATTTACTATTAAATTAAAAACTCAAACATTTTATTAAATTAAAAATATGTGTTACCATTTAAAAAAACAAAGTTGACCCCCCTACCAGGCATAAGGGATGAACTTAAAAAGTATTAGATAGTTAAAAATTCAAGAATAATGGGTAACTAAAATAAATAAAAAAAAAAATTTTTAAATTATTATTATTCTATAAGTAATTGAGTGGGTTATGATAAAAAAATCACTCTGTATATATATAAATCGCATCCTCTTAATAACATACGAAGTGATTCATTTATCAAAACTCATTCCTGTATTACTTATAAAATAAACTTCTAAATTTTTAGAATAACACAAAACTGTTGTTTCATCATCATAATAAGAAAATAAATGCAAATGTCATTTTTGAAAAATCTATCAAAAAACACCAAACATCAAACCACATAACTTTTAAGTACACAACTGATGGTGGGTTAATAATTCAATTATTGTTATTCACTTTTTATTAAATTTAAAATTAATGTAGAAATGGGTATATAGAAATAAATACATATTAGGATCAAATAGTTTAACACACAAATATTTCAATCTAAATTTAAGCAGAAATTAAAACTTCTTACTAGTAAAGTAAAAAAAAAATTATATTTTCGTGCCACTTAAAAAATTTATAAATTTATAAAGCTTATACTACCTATGTAATAAAATAATATCACACAATAAAATTTGACTTAAAAGAATTACCTAATTGGGTAGCATAAAATAAGGGAGTTTCTCCATCATCATCTTGAATATTAATATCTGCAGCATTTAAAATTAAATATTCACACGCCATAACAGATCCCTAAATTTATTATAAATAAATATTTTTAAAGTACTGGAAATTTAAAAAACTATAATTGTATGTTACACTATAAATAGCTTGGAACAAACAAGTTCGCCCTTTGTCATTAGGGTTCCTCCAATTCTTATTAGCACCCATTGCAATTGCATGACACATTACTGGGAGGTTATGTGCTGTTGCAGCTTTATATAGTAGCATATCTGGTTCTAGAGTAGATATATCTTCTTCTCCAACTAAAAATATTTTTAGTATAAAATCACTTTTCTTTATATATTTACAGTGTAAAAGAGTGAAATATCTCGATGTGTTAAAAATTTACCATCAACTCCATCATCACTAATAGTAGAGTCATCGTCACTACTAATTGCATCAAGAGATATTGAACCAGCATTACCCCCAATAATCATTACATTATCATCAGCCTCCTTTTTTAAGTTACTTTTACGTATAGATTTATATTGGATTCCTCGTCTACGAACTTTACGCACACTCCACTTTTTTGTGTCTGGATCATCTATTTTCAGTTGATTATTAGGAAGGGGTTTAACATAAAGGCGATCGACATACTTCTTTCTAATCCATTGTTCTCTGACAGAACTATTGATTAAAATACATACAAAAATATATCTATAAACGTGGTATTTTTGTGCATTGTTTTATAAAGAGATCAAGTATTTGGTTAATCACTAATTGGCTACTTTTGATAGTTAAACAATAAAAAATTAACCTTAAATCTCAAAGATGTATGTATTGAAAAATTGAAAAAAACTATGAACATAGTCGTAAGACTAATAAGAGTCGTATACTCTTATTGAACACACCTCGTATAGGTGTGTTCAATAAATACCCAGACTAAAATTATTACAGAAAAACATTTGATGTTATCGGTAATGTTATTATACCAAAATAAACTAGAGATAATGACCATTATTTTAATATATAATAATAATCATTATCTCAAATCAGTCATTAACAATACGCGTTCAAAGTTGGTCATTTTGTATGAAATCGCGATTTCACGATAGATAATATTACCGAGTAACACCTATATCAAATATTGTTTCAAAATTGGTAAAAATGCTACGGAAACTTTTGAATTGATTAAATTGGAGATGTTTCACAAAGCCATTGTGAAATTTTTGAATGGTTCAAAAATTTTAAAGAAGGTCGAATATCCATTGAAGATGACCATCGTCCTGGGCGTCCGTCAACATCAAAAACACATGATACAATTATTCTTGTTTGAAACAAAATTAGATATGACCAACGATTAACTGTCAGAGAAGTAGCCAATGAAGTTGGCATATCAATTGGTACTTGTCATTTGTTTTTATCAGATGAATTGGGTTTGAAAAGCAAAATTAGTGCCAAAATTAATAACCGAAGAGTAAATGGAACATCGTATTGAAGTCTAATTGGAACTAAAAAATCGGGTTTCTAATGACCCAAGTTTTATAAAATCAATTATTACGGGTGATGAAACATGGGTGTATGGAAATGATCCCGAAACCAAAGTTCAGTCATCACAATGGAAGACTGCAAATTTACCTCGTCCAAAAAAATGCCGTCAGGTCCGGTCAAACATTAAAGCAATGCTCATTGTTTTTTTCGATTTTTTTTATTTAGTCCATTATGAGTTCGTACCTACAGGTCAGATAGTAAATCAAGTATTTTATAAACAAGTACTAGAAAGATTAAGAGAAAAAGTATGCCGTAAAAAGTCAGAAGCATGAAAATCAAAGTCAAGATTTTTGCACCATGACAATGCACCAACGCATTCAGCAATTTTCATTTGTGAATTTTTGGCATCTAAAAATATAGCAGTGGTACCTAACCCTCTATATTCACCTGACTTATCTCCCTATGATTTTTTTTGTTTCCAAGACTAAAAAGTACCCTCAAAATGATTCGAGGACATCAACTAAACTATCCAGAACGCGACACAAGAGCTAAAGGCTATAACTATGGAGGACATTCAAAGGTGTTTCAAAATTGGCAAGACCGTTGGGAACATTATATTGAAGCCAAAGGACACTATTATGAAGGTGATCCATTTAAATAAATTGTAAGATTGAAATATATTTTTTAATAAATTTTTTCTGGGTATTTATTGAATACACCTTGTATAGCTAAATTTTACTTATAAAATAAAATACTTTTTAAAAGAAATTCAGAATTATTTAGTGATTGAAAAATTATAACTCACTCTTGACACTTTGCTGAAGCACGCACCACATTTGATGGAACATTATATTCATATACATCATTAACAACAGCATTCCCCACTTCAGCTAAAACTTTTAATATTTCTGGTTCCCAATCATCAAGTGTCAAAGAACGAACTTTACTATAATGTACACCAAGACTTCTATGAACACCAGAACACTCTACAATAATAAATATATACTGTACTACTCTAACACATTTACCATAAAAAATAAAATTACCAATACACAAAGTAATTGCCAAATTAATACTAGCCCAACTTGGGTTTGGTGCTTTGCAATCACAACATTTCTCATTTCCAGCAATTTTAATTAATACCTCTAATGTTCTGATTAAATATATTAAAGTAAAAAGGGTTAAACAATTAATTAAAATAACTAAAGATATAAAATTATAATATATATGTTAAGAATCTCACTTTGATTTTTTAAGTTTACTTGAATTCGACAGTCGATTATTTAAACTATTAAAATCATTTAAAAATTGATTATTTCCTCCTAAAGGACTTGTATTTCGTTGACCACTTTGTTGTATGGCAGCACCAATACCTTGTTGTAAAGCTTCTATCCATGATTTATATGCATGTTCAGAATCAGCTTGAAGTATATGACTCCTTAATAGAAGATAATTTAAAATAATAATTATAGAAACATAGAATCTCTTGTCTAATTTAAGAACTTTTAAATTAAATTTAAGGACAAATTACTTTGTTGGAGAAAGAACTTCAAAACAAAATCTTCTTTCAGCATCATATGCAGGTTTTACTGAACAGAGTCTTAGATCTTCTTCCATTACAGTAAATAAATCTTCACCTAAAAATTCAATTCTAATAAAATCACATGTGTAAAATATATCATATATAATTTTGTTAATATTGATAAAAATTAAAAAAGTGAAAATTCAAAAAAAAAAAAAAACTAGGAAATAAATATAAAGTTTATAGCAAAACATTAATATCAAATAAAATTTTGTTTGTAATTCCTTAACATAAATAATAATATATATTGTAAAGTAAATAATTACCACTCCTTTTTCGATAAGCCAGCTGATTATTTTTTAAATAAAACCAACGGCGATTCCATGTTTTAAATGCATTACTAGTTCTTTTGTACAAATAACCTTCAATACGTGATACTTCTTTGTCTTTAGCATTGATTTCATTATCATCGCCATTTATCATAACAGTATCATTGCTTTGTTTTCAAAAATATCAAACCTCAACATTTTTATTTGTTTAACACATTATAAGGCTACTAATTATTATGTCGTGACAATCAAATTGAAATAGTATTAGTGTTATTTTGAATTAAATATAAACGAATAAATAAAAATACTAATAAATAATTTATAGTGTACAAAAATAAAAAATATTGCTATTTATAATATTTTTAAGCCCCAATTCCATTATTTTCAAAATTATTAACCCTAAACCATACGCCATCTGTTTTACACTTTTTGATAACATGGTTTAAGTTACACAAGAAGTCAAAAAGTTAGTTTGATATTTTTTTTTTAGTCTATGTGATAAAGATATGTCAATATAAATTACACTTTGTTCTATTATTGTATATATCTTCTATCATAAAAATTTTAAAATATGAGCTTGAAACAATTAAAAATGAAAGTTTTTAAAATTGAGGAAAATATGCCACTGGACACTTTACTATATAATATTCATGGACGCAATGGAAAAGGGTTATTGATGTGTACTTAGTTGGTTGTCACGTCAAATTAAATTATTAATAATCTAAAAAGTACTACCTATTAACTAATTTATGGTGCTCGCCAAGTTGCTTTTCCATTTTTCCTGCTTCTATTATCATAACCTCAACTTCTTCATTTAAATTTTGAATAAAATCTTGTAAATCTTCGGTCAAAGTATATCCATGATGGAAATAAGTACTCCATGCTTGAATATAAGACAACAGCTAAAAATTATAAATAAAAATTTCTTCTAAAGAAAACATATTTAACTAGTATTACAATTTGGTCAATTTTATTACTATTTTTAAGTTAGCAAGATACATGTAAATAATTGTTATTAAATTAAGGATTCAAGAAAATAATAATTATTAATTATTACGATTATAAGGATTAAATAACAGTAGGCTGCTATATTAACTTGGGTAAGAAGCAGTTACAGCACACCAATAAATTTTAATCTTTTTTTTTTTTTATTATTTATAAATTTATTCCTAGATAATAAATATATTAACTAGAAAATTATTTTGTCATTGTATTGATCTTACAATGTTGAACTCATTATTTTTTTGTATTCATAATATAATATAAATAATAATGTGATGAAATCATGCACAATACAAATAAAAACATAATAAATTAATAATAACCGTTGAAAATATTTCAGGTTTTTTTCTTGCTAAAAGCATAGTTATACAATGAACATGATCCAGTGCTGCATGACGAAAAGCAATTCTTGCTGATGCAACTTGACTCATCAATTCATCAGCTTCATTAGGCCTTGATTTTAAAATCTGAGAATTTCTTAATAAAGCTCCATCAAGTTCAGATGCTGCTTTTTCAAAAGTATGTTTAGATTCTTTACTTGCTTTGATATCTCTAAATAAATTAATAAACAAATAATTTATTTCTTTGGTAATTTGACTAATTAAAATATCTCACTCCTTTACAAATACTGTCAAATTATTCAAAACAGTACGAGAGGCCTGATCTAAAAATGTAGTCAAAAATTTGTTCATTTCTTGGAGAGCATGTATTATTTTATTAAGATTTTTTGTTGATGATGTATCATCTCGAAAACATAATCCCATTTCCCAGAGACTATTAGCAAATAAGGATTGTTGACTGACATAAGTTTTTCCAGAATCAATCATTAAACTACAAACTTTAACAACCTAGAAAATTTAAATAAAACTTACCTCACTTCCATAAATTAAAAATACTACAAAGTGTGTACAAAATAATTTCTTATCTATATGTATGAAAATGAAGGGTATAGAGACAAAACTATTAACAATACTTTTTTTTTAATGTTTTTAGGGAAAAAAATTAAAGGCTACAATCATAATTTAACTTAGTTTACTAAATATATAACATTTTCATTTTACCTTGATTAAATATTTTAGTTTGATAAGAATTAAAAAATCTACAATGAAGAAATTTATAATTTTATTTTTTTTATGTTTATCATTCTCTCTTTAATGCTATACATGTATTGGATAGGACTAGAAACCTATATAGAAACCATAGCCCAGTGTATCGGAATCAAACCTTATAATAGTAATTTGGATCTTTTTATAAATACAAACTTCATATAATAATAAAACATATTCTTATAATATCTCATAACTAGTATTTTTGATAACTAGATATTAAATTTAAACATTGGCATAATAATGTGAGAATACGGGTATCATATCCCCTTATGACAAATATAATATATAGCAGATTCAACTTTTTTTTTCATTTGGAGAGGGAAGTGATAAATTTTTTTATGTACCTCTCCCCCTGATGAAACCCTAATTACACCACTACATCTAAATTAAATTTGTATAAATAAAATTTAAATGCATAATATTTTTTCATACATTTTTGTACTAATAATTATACAAAACATTTTATTTACTTTCTCGAGTCTATGCTCCAGCAAATCAATATTTGATTCATGTCGTTCTAATTGATTCCTAAAACATAAATTCAAACTTAATATAATATATGTAAATTTAAAACCATGGATATTATTCTATATATTTTAAGTGATAATGAAAATTTGAGGGAATCATACATCAAAACAAAGCATTTTGACATCATTTAATGTCCAGAGACTATTTAATAAAAAACAAAATTAATCAGGATTCAAATGAAATTCTAATGATTTGATAAGAATTTAGTAAACTAACATACTTCAACAGAAAAAATTTAATTCCTATCAACTCAACTATAACTTTAGATCATTTTCATAACAAAAAATCCTAGTTTAACTTAAATTTTCATCATAAAATGTTATCTTAGGTGAATTTTAAGTTAACAGTAACTGCTAAAGATAGTGCTTTTTTATATATAAGTAAAATTTCTTAACTTTTTTCTAATAACAAAGATAACAATTGAATAAAATGTTTAAATTAAATATAAAATACAAGCAAACCTGAATTTGGGCGAGTCCTGAAGACAGTCACTGACTGAAATCGTTTGCATAGTGTCAATTTAGGATAACTTCAATTTAATATCATTGTTGGAAGAAGACAACATTTCATAAGTAGGGTGACGTTCATTCTGCTTCGAAAACTAATAGAGCATATCGTATATCTTAGCTAATATGGTTGTAGTGATACGAAGAGCTAGTAGTATCCGGCTAAAACATGAATTGTATAAGTGACAGCGATAAGTGATTCCGTCAAAATTTTTAACATTAACAACGTTAAATTACTCACAAGACGGTGTGCCAGGAAGAATTGGTGCATATCAATTCATAACAGCAAGTTCTTCACTGAGCGCTACCTACAAATTGCAATTAACGTACTATCAGAAATCAGCAGCCGTCGCAGGTGCACTAATAAGTAGGGAGTGCGCGCGTAATAAATTTAGATAAGAAAGGAAGCAGTAGCGAATAGAATCACTTTACGAACGTCTGTTTGTTACTTTTTGCCCTTGCCACCCCCACTAACAAAAACGCGCGCGCGTCACGTGACCCGGTCACCGCCACCGCACACACCTGTCAATCGGACTTCCACCATAGGCCGTATGACCACTCCCGTCCCTAATAACTGAACACATGCCAGAGACTGAAAATTCACTATAATATATTTGAGAAACACTTCAAAAGCTTTAATAATAACATCTTATTTATTCTAATATGTTTGGAACCAAGTTATTGAGATGCCTTCTTAGCTTTTCTCTATTAAACTTGAGTACATTAAATGTACTCAAATTTAATAATGAAAAGATAAATTTTATGACTTCACACGCATTAAATTTTTTGTATCAGAGTTAATTAATATGTTTACGATCGAATAAAATACTTCATTTAACACAATTTATCAAAGCGTTACTAATGTATTGTAATTGAGACTCACTCATTGTTTTTCAACTATCATGTTTCAATAAAAATCATCTTATTTAAGGTTCCGTAGTTACATCACAATCCTTGAATCCTTAGTCTGTTACATTTTATCATAATTACATTGATAAAATCATCCTACTATCCCGTCGACCGTATAATAATAGCGTGTTAATTAAACTTGTTGAGCATAAAAATACAATTTTTTGTCTTATTCTACATTATTCTGACCTCTGCAAAATCAACCCCTGTTGGATCGACGCTTGCCGTTGAGAAGAGCGTCAAATATACGCTCTTTGTATTAAGAAATTTAATATTTAGTTAAAAAAAAAAAAGCCAATCAAATATGTAATGAAGTTCTCCCTCCTGTACCTTCAATATTTAGAAAGAAAGTTTAAATGAGATTATTTATTTTTAACTAATGAAAATTATACTACGGAAAAAATTTAGGATTACAAAAGATAATGTAAGAGATATAATAATTATATTATATCGCTAACGTATTTTAGCTTCGATGCGAAGCTGAGAAGGTATTGGTTTTACTAAGATGTGTTTTTTTTATTTTTTTTTGTGTCTGTTACCACTTTTTCTCAGCTCTCACCGAACCAAATTCTTTCAATGATACGTCAAAAGATCACAAATTGTATCTAGTCGAAGACATCACCCTCAAAAATTGAAAAAATTCCCTCGTTCGCCGTAAATGGGGGAAACCTCCAAAAAAATTACAAATTTAAAAAACGCTAATTTTCGAAATTTTTTCAATTTTTAGCTTCGATGCGAAGCTGAGAAGGTATTGGTTTTACTAAGCTGTGTTTATTTTTTTTTTTTTTTTTTTGTCTGTTACCACTTTTTCTCAGCTCTCACCGAACCGATTTCTTTCAATGATACGTCAAAAGATCACAAATCGTATCTAGTCGAAGACATTACCCTCAAAAATTGAAAAAAATTCCCTCGTTCCCCGTAAAAGGGGGAAACCTCCAAAAAAATTACAAATTTAAAAATCGCTAATTTTCGAAATTTTTTCAATTTTTTTTACTTAAAAGTGCCATTATTTTTTAAAAAATGAACATATCAATATAATTCTTTTTTATATAGATGCATAATATCATTACCTTTCATTTGGTATATTTTTTTCATAAATTTAACCCTTAACCTGCCCACAAGGGGGGATTTAAAATGACAACTTTTTCACAAAAAATTAATTTTTTTAACTTAAATTTTGAAAATGTTCCGGAAGGTCTGACACTTTTATATATATCTTAAATTAAAGCTAATGTAATATACTTTAATTTGAAAAAAAAAAATTTGACCTCTGGACTTGTCTTCGTGGTGAAAGTTGACATCAAAGTTAATAAAAAATTACGATTTTTGTAAAATAATTTTTTTTTATATTTTTAACTTAATAATGCTCTAACTTTTTCAAAAATGAACATATCAATATAATTTTTTTTTATATAGATGCTTGATGTCTTTACTTATCATTTGGTATATTTTTTTTGTAAATCTGACACTTAACCTGCCCACAGGGGGGGATTTAAAATGACAACTTTTTCACAAAAAATTAACTTTTTCAACTTAACTTTTGAAAATGTTCCGGAAGGTCTGACACTTTTATATATATCTTAAATTAAAGCTAATGTAATATGCTTTATCATGAAAAAAAAAAATTTCGGACTTTATCTTATCTTCATGGTGAAAATGGCTACCGAATGCTATTTTTGTGTGAAAATTTTCGATTTTGTATTTTCCATTTTTAACTTTATTATGCTATAACTTTTTGAAAAATGTATGAATCATTACAATTTTTTTATGAGAAGTAGTATTTATATAGATCTTTCATTCGACATACTGTTTTTTTAAATCGGACCATTTCCCTAAATACAGGGGGGATTCAAAACATAAAAATGCATATAGAAAGTAGAACTTTTTCAACTTAACTTTTGAAAGTGTTCCGGAAGGTCTGACACTTTTATATATGTCTTAAATTGAAGTTAATGTAATATTCTTTATTATGCGAAAAAAAAGTTTCGGACTTTATTTTATCTTCACGGTGAAAACGGCTACCGAATGNATGGCTATCGAATGCTATTATTGTGTGAAAATTCTCGATTTTATTTTTTACATTTTTAACTTTATAATGCTATGACATATTGAAAAGTGTATGGATCAACATTATTTTTTTATGAGAAATAATATTTTTTAATAATCCCTTTTTCATTCGACATACTTTATCTTAATTAGGATATTAATAATGAACTAGCAGATAATGTAGCTTTTGGAATAATCCACCAATTTTTTAAAATTAAACAGTATCTAAAGATTTGCATCGAAGCGTTTTTTTTTTGATAGTGATTTTAATCACTGTCAGATATCATTATACTTGATCCATCTATACCACGTCACCACTGTGCCGCGACCCCCCTGTGCTGGGTTTTTTATTATTTGGTTATGTTATCATGGATGTAATATGACTAAAAATTTTGGAGGTGCTAGAAATTATTTATGGAATAAATAATAACCTTTATAACCTATTTTGTAGCATCTATAGTACTTAATTTTCCTTTTGAGTGTTAACACATTAAAAACCACAGATTTAATGAGTGAAATGTATTACATATAAAAAATTATTCAGTGAACCAAGTCTAATTATCAAGCTGCTATTTCCGGACTGTTTAAAATTTACTCATTCAGTTTCTTAAATACAGGAAAAGATGAAATACGTATAGACTTACATTTAATTTTTGATTCTAATTACAAGCTTGGTTTACAAATGTATAAATTATTTAAAAGGTTTTAATTATAAGATTTTATTTAACGTTTTTTTTTATAAATTAAATAAAATATAGTAGTAGAATATTACCGAATTTATAATACTATTGTTAATGTTTAATATTTATTTATTTATTTTTATAATAATGACTACATTTAATTTAACCAGTTTTTTACCAGGATGTGTAAATAAAATGCCGTAGTGTGTGATTAATAATGCCTTTTAAAATATACCTAAAATGATCACAATTACAACATAAATTTTGGAGATGCATGGAAATTTTGGAGTGATCAGGGCTCAGGACTTATAGCACTTAAAATCCTCAAATAAACCCTTTCAAAAGCACTTAAAAACACTAGTATAAGCACTTTAACAAGCAATTGTAAATCATAAAACTCAACAAAAAAGACACAAATTTAAAATTATTTTTTAAAATTTTCGTTTTATATAATGAAAACTGCTGAATAAATAATAAATCTATATATATATCACATTCACGTAATGAATAAGTATAGAATTAAAAAATTTAACCCTAGTATTAACTAATTAAATTCAAAAAATATTATTTTAAAAATAAAAATATAAACAGTATAATAATATATTTGTTATATTATTATAAATAGCTGCAAAAAAATGTATTTATTCAATTAAATAATGAAATTTATCTGTAAACATATTTTACCATTATTGAATGATCTAATTTTTACGTAAAACGGTTTTTAAACAAAAAATAATAATTAGTTATTAAACCATAGTTTCAATATTTGGGTATCTAATTTAATTTCTCCCCTTTTTATAAATTCACATGTTATTTTCTTAATTTTTAGGGGACTAAGCACCCTTTAAACTACCTAGATTGTGATTATTTAAATATTAAACATAATATATAATGTTTAATTATAAAAATAAATAAACATTTTTTTTCAACCGTTAAAAAAAGGTACAAATAATTAATTTCATATTTAAAATCGTTATAACATAACATTAACATTTACAGCATTGTGTTACATTGTATTTCTAACTTTTTCATTAAATAAGTTATTATGGTGCCACGTTGATCAATAAAATTGTGTTCGTTAATTTTGGAATAAATCACCCGATGTTTAGTTAATGTAACAAAATATTGTTGACTCACGACAACTTGTGACATTAAAATAAATGCCTGTTGACTTCTTAGGAAAGTCATTTATATGCCAAACAGACGGTTAAATAACATTATTATTTTGATAAGTTAATATCGCAAATTAACTACTATACAACAGGACTAGGAACCAAAATTATTTCCGTTTTTGGTAATTTTTCTTATATTTAGGAAATAAGTTTTTTAATATTGAATTTCTATTTAGTTCATATTGATAAATAAAATCGACTTATCACGACTCCGGTTTTAAGTTATTCATTTAATTAATAACATTGTATACAAAACTCATTTATTTTGCCGCACTTTCGAAATAATGAAAATCATGCAATACGTTTTTGATAAAAATTTCTAGCTACATAATATCTATTTTATGTATTTTAAGTTATTAAAGGTATCTCAAGTATATTTTAAACAAAATATTAAATAACCATAATAAAATAATTAGTAGCCATTTATAAAATTTACCAAGATCAAAAAACCATAAAGTTTAGGGGCTAAGCCCCCAACTAATTAACCCAATGCCTATTGATTATTAGTCAGTCCAATGAGAGCTAAAAAATTTTATGGACAGATAAAAATTTTCTTTTTCTTATCCCTTTTTTGTTGTACCCAAATATAGATAAATAGTTTTGTAAACTCAGTATTTTATAATGCCTATTTTTTTATAACTCTAAAAATATATAGAATAATCTTCAAAATATGTTGAATTCAGAGGTTTTTTTCTGGAGAAAGGCTTAAGCATCGCACAACTAGAAATTTTTTTTCCATAATTGTCTAAAAATTGTACTCTGAATTTTATTTGATTATAATACTGCTTCAAATTATAAAAAATATAGATTTTTACACTACAAAAAAAAA